CAGTATAATTGATACTGGTGAAAAGAAATGCACCTATCTGGGGGGTAAATTGTATTGAATTTCTCAAGTGGGACCTATTTCAAAGTGAATGTAAATCCAGGCAGGCTACTCTAGATCTGCAAACAATTCAGGGTAAAAAGTGTGTGTTTCCGTGTGAAAGAGGGAAAGAGGCAGAGAGAGAAATGCATGATTAGGGTTTCTTTTAAGAAATGTAAACCAGACTATCCCAATGTGCTGCCCTCCCAATGCATAGTTTTCTAGTGCTGTAATTCACAGCCAAAATTTCAGTTTTTATAAGAATTGTGGGAACTGTTCTAGACAGACCCAACTTTAGGAAAACCAATGTAAACTATAATCATGCACACAGAGTGCAATGCAGTGATGAAATATTGAATGTGGCAAATGCAAATTCATACCTACTTTTTTTCCCCTGTCCAGTCTGTTTTGTGTATGTATAGCAGATACAATAACATTAGCCTTTCCCCAGGAAAGTATAGTACATATTCATCTTAGATCTTATTGATTTCTTAATAAGAAATCTTGTTGCAGACAATGGGAACTAATTCTAAAACATTTTTTTTGGCTTTTGTCATTTATTGTAATAATAATTTAAATGTGCTGTTATATTATCTTTGAGTACGTTTGAATTTTCCATGCAATATGGAGAACTGTTTCATAATATTAACTTTTATTTCATGCTTTCTGGGCACATTCAGAAAGAAGTAAGTACTATATTAGCTTTACTAATTAAAATAAAGTTTGACCATGTTGAATCAAGTGCTTAGGAATTAATTACTTATTAGCAAACTGACTAATTTTGTTCAAAAGGCCTTTTTATTGCAAAGGAAGGTAGTACTGGATTTCTACCTTCAAGCCATAAAACACATTTCATATTTGCTTCCATTGGTTGGATATTGTTGAGAGAACAGGTGGATAAAAGGATAAATCAGTAAAACATACTCTCAGAGATTGAGAACCATTTTGGTTATTTCAAAACAGACTGCTTCCTGTTTGGTACTGCATGTAAATTTACAGTTGTTTTTACATTATTTACTATAAGGAAGTTCAAGTGTTGTGTTTTCTGTGTGTTGTGCGCTCTTTTTCAAGCAGGTTGCTAAAAACAAAAATGTGTACTGTGTAATGCATGTGCATTTCATATATTGCTATGCTGTTGTGATTTCAACCTACATCTGCAAAACAGCCTGTTACTTTGTGAAGCTTTGCAGGAAGATTACCAAATGCAAAAGTGTGCAGTGTTTTGAGCACTTTAGATAATGTTACTAAATTTTTGAGCTTTCAGCTTGCCAAATCCACATATACATAATTTTTATTATAATAGTTAAATCTAATACAAACTAAACCTAAAGAAAGAAAAGGGAATAGAAAGAAGTACAAAGTGCAAGAAAAAAGAGAAGAAAAGGACAAGAAAGAATATAATAAAGTAGAAGAAAAGAAATATATAAAGAAGTGACTTCCAACCTTCATCACAAGTATAAACAGATTTAGTGACTCTTCACCTCCTCTAAGGTTACAGTAGCATAATTTTTTCAGCACTGGTGTCAGTAGAAAATCCATAAAGGGTTGCCAGAAGTAACAACATATCTTGTTTTAACTTTGATCAAATAAACCAACTTTATATTCCTTCCTTTTACTTCCAACAGTTTTAATCTTTAGTTCATTCAAATATTGTTGTGGGATTTTATTTCTCTTCATTTCTTCTTTGTCCCATCTCACAGAATTCTTCAGGAGTTTAACAAGCCTCTTTTGTAAATCCAGTAGGAAAAAATTATCCAGGTCACTCTCTTGATTTGTCATTTGCATTTCCCTTTTAAACTTTAAAGCCTCAGCCAATTTGTTTTGTAGATCTAATGAAACATCCTTTTCTAAGTCATTCTCTTGGACTGTCAGTTGTTAATCCACTTCCGTGTTAATCCACTTCCGATACAATCTCTATCTTGTCAAATAAAATTTGTTCTACATCTGTCATTTCTTCAATAACATCTTTTGGACATAATCTAACCATAGAAGCAGACGTCATTGCTGACTTTGTTGATATTGTAGCTACTATGTTCTGATTCCATTCTTCAAAAGTCTCCTTCAATATTTTTGTTGTTAGAACATTTTGCAATATTTTACAGGTTTGTAAATCTTTCCTCTACCTAAAAACTTTAGTTCCCTCCAGTGTCCAATTTTTGAAATCATGACATTACTTATTGTTTTGTGTTGTAAAAAATAAAACACAGTCTATTTCCCATGAGCAGCTGTTCTTTATAATTAATTCTTAAATCTTATTGTAAAAGTTTTAATTTTCCAATTTTATCTGGACCCTTAGTCTATTTATAACTTTCTAAGATCAAAATCTTATTTGGCTTTATGCTGTTTATTTCAGATTCTTTAAATCCTTAAGCTTATGATCAAATTTTTATTTCATTCAAGATTGAAGGCAGACTTACCCAGCATTTTCAAACTTGTTGGTCCAAAGTTCTCTAATAGCATAGAAGTAGTTAATGAGCAATTTCTGAAAGTGATTAGAAAGTGAAGTTTGCAAACTTAGTGTCCTTTAAAAGAATTAGCTGTGGCTGTGAGTAAGATTGCTAATCTCATCATCTCTCGGTGCTCAAACCCACAGAAAAACCATTGTTTTGCAGTCTCCTTGCGAGGAGCAGCCATCTGGAGCACATGTGGGTGATCTCCCATTCTCTCCTTATCTGAAGAGGTTCTGCTCACTGGATCCTTGGCCTTTGCTGTGGTCATTGGCTCCGCTTTCACAGAACCACCTTCAGTTCGCCATACCGCCCCCAAAAGTCTCAGCTTGCCAAATCTAAAAAACTTTGTTAGTTTATTTATTACAGTTTACAAAGGCAGATTGCCAAATGCAAAAAGTGTGAATTGTGCATGTGATTAGGAAAAAAAACCCTAGTGGTAGGTAGCAAAATACTTTATTTTTTTGTACTTATATTGTTCTAGCCAGTGTTGTGAATTGATTGCTATTGCTTTTTTTATTAAAAAGTGTGCTTAACTGTTGTTTTCATTGCTGCAATTGGAATTTTATTTTATTTTATTTTATTTTGATTTTATTTTGATAGATTGATTATATGTCATCCAGTTGATATCAGTCCTTAGCGACCACATAGATAGATTACAGTTATCAATATCAATTACCAGAAAAAAACTTGTTATTGTCTTAGACTGTGCAGAACCACTAGGAGTAGTTATAGTTTGTAAGACAACACTTGAGTGTTGTAAACCACATCATTGTGATCTCATTCTCCTCTGCCCTTCTTGATTGACTGATTATGTGCCATCAAGTTGGTGTCAACTCTTAGCGATCACATAGATAGATTTTCTCTATGACCATCTGTTCCTAGCCTGGCTTTCAGGTCTTCCAATAGTGTACTTATCGCCACTGTAATTAAGTCCATCCACCTTCCTGCTCATTGTCCTCTTCTTCTCTTTCCTTCCCCGTTTCCTAGCATTAGAGCCTTCTTTAGAGAGCTATGACTTTGCATAACATGTTTGAAGTAGGATAATTTGAGCCTGGTCACTTGTGCCTCGCATGAGAATTCTGGGTTGATTTGTTGAATACTCCATTTGTTGTTTTCTTGGTTGTCCATTGTATTCTCAGAAGTTTTCTCCAACACCAAATTTTAAAAGCATCAATACTATTTCTATCCTGCTTTTTCAAAGTTCAACTTTAATTTATTTATTAACAATTATTCCCTATGTATGCCAAGGGAGTATACTGTTGCACCTACTATAGGACAAAATACAAAAAAGCAAGGAGCTTGCTTTGATTAACCCTAACATTAACCCTCTGGTGCTACATTTAAAATATTGTGAGTTTTGTTCAATTGGATCTCAGCTCACTCTAAAAGTTCCATTGTAATGCTCCAAGTGTAGTTCTTTCATTTGGAAATCAGAACACAACTGTTCGCTTGTTTCATGCCAATAGAGTTCATATTAGTGATTGCAGCTCTTATTTTGATTTCTGGAAATATAATTTCAGGAAAACTTTAACTTGGAAATAAAATATTTTGAGGAGAGACTGTTTTTATGCTGGGTGGAATGGAAATAATTCTTTCCCATAGTTCTTCCTCCTATTCAGGTTTTTCATTCCTGCCTGACATATACAGCATTCATATCAAGGCTATGTTCATGCAAGATGCTACACTATGTTAATAATATATTGTCTGGATTCACACATCATGCAAGTCATAAACAACAGTCTACAACCCACAGTGACTGGTTGGCATAATACATTAAACCACATTCTATATCCATTGTTGTTTCCTTGATTTGTCCTTGACAGAAACTTGCCAAAAATATTGAGATACTGAGAGTAGAGGTGGGAGAAGGGGACAGGAAAACATTACTATACACAGAGAACTCCATTTAAGTTTCTTGGGATCCAGGAGGATTAAAAATCTTTACATCCTAAAGCAGTGTTTCTCAAACTTAGCAACTTTAATATGTGTGGACTTTAACCACACATGCCTGGCTAGGGAATTCTGGGAGTTGAAATCCACATCTTAAAGCTGCCAAGTTTGAGAAACACTGTTCTAAAGCATAAAGAGGCCTTGTAGACTTATCCCACGATGAAAAATATTAAAGCAATTTCTTAATTTCAAATTCTTTGGAGGAAAATGGAGTAAATTCAGCTGACCAGGTTGTTTATGAAGTATCATTTCCTGTGATTAATATTCTATATTCTGGCAATTTATCACAAGGTTACAGAATGAGGTTCTTACTCCCTTTGAGGTAACTAGCATGCTTTCCAAAGGAAGAGATGTCTCTGATAAAATGACTACTCTATAATTATCCTAAGGACTGAATCAAGCTGAAGCTAAGTATTTTTAATCACAATTGATTTCAGTGAGAGAGTTAGTTGCTTTAATTCTTGCATCGAAATAAATAGATCTGAAAAAACATCATGTTGGCTGCTTTTGCACTGAGAGAAATGGATAGCTGGAAAATTAAATTATTTATTCTTTTCTGTTTAGTGACAGCTACAATGACCTGAGTAATGAGAGTTTTCCAGAAAAAGAACTTCCTGAAGCAGAAACAAGATTAACATGTTCAGGAGTGCAAGAAAAACATAGAGAAGACAGGTAAACCTATTCCGTTCTCCCCATCTCTCAAAGCAAGGACTTGCTCCAGATTTTCCTCAGGGCCAGCAGAATATCAGATTGCACCAATCCTGTTAATTAATATATCCCTTCCACTAAATGCAAAGACACGTCATGTCTGATTTCACCCTCAGATGTCATGTTTAACATGTCCTTTGTTCTACTGATTTATGTCATACCCCCAGAGAATAAATTAATTATTCCTAACCAAGGATTGTCTAATCACTCACGTTTGGATTATTTTAGCAGAGAAAAGCAGAATATAAATACGGTAAATAAGCATTTCTTCTCATATCAGTGTAGTATTGTTTTGTTACAGATCCATATTGTCCAATTTCTGTGTCATTCTCTGAATTTACCTCCATTTGTGGCCCCAAAACCTCACAGAGTACATTGGGCCAAAAGTTTTGAACTTTTTTATTTTTGAAATTGGGGAATTAAGGGCCAACATAGCACTTCTAGAAACCCTTAACTTCTCACCCAAAATAGGGAAAATTTTGTGATTTGAAGAAATTAACCTGCTAAATAGATGTTTTAAAGCTTAAGGTACTAATGTTATCCCTTTAACCTCCCACAGTTTAAAAAACATAGATCCCCTTAAATTGTTCTGCTGATTGATGGCATTGTGGTATCATCTTCAATCACGAGTGCCCCTTGGGTCCCCCAATAAATACAGTCACCATGTATTAAAAGATGTCCATCTCTGGCTTAGGTTTATGTTGCATAAACTGTTTTGCATAACAGTGTTTGGGGAAATGCACAGTCCAAAGGATACTTCTGCTCCAATCTACATGATCAGTACCTTTAAGAAGGTAGAAACAAGTTCTCCTGCATCCACATGTCTATTGGGACAGCAGCTCTGCGCAGTATGAACCCCACTTGCTTTCCGTTCTCTGTTTACTCTTAGAAACTCTTGCTTCCAAAACTGCTGCTTTTTTCACAGAGCAATTAATTTGTCAGGTGATATTCCAAAGTACCCTCCCCATTCGAGACACTAAAAAAAGTACTGATAGAACATATTTTTCTTTGTTTTGATTTTGATGCAGTCAGTTGGCTGACTTATGGATTTCTAAAAAGGATATTTTTCAGAAATAATTTCCTGTATAAATAGGCCATGTTTAATTCAATGGAAGTAGAACTGCATCAAATATATATACAAATGTAATCTATTTTTCCATCTGTTCCTCTTGTCTTTTTTTAGACTCACATAGACTGCAAATCTGTACATGTCTACTCATAAGCAAGCCCTATTGACTCAATGATAATGGATTTAGAACAGCAATTCAAGTGTACTTTGTAGCTTTTGCCCTATATTTTTTAGGTTTCTGCTGCAATTACAAGAGACATACGTATTTTCACAACTTTGAATTTTCAGCTGAAATTGTTCTTGCTGCTGCATTTCACATCCTGTCATATTGAAGTCACAACATGAAAGCAGCCTAAATGGTTGCCTGTTTCCTGACTCTTCCTTCCCTTTTGCCAGCAGTAGAATGAGTCAAATTATTCCTACAATTGAAATGTTTTGAGCATCACATAAATGATCCTCATGTCTAAAACTAGCCAGACAATACAAACCTGTCATATTCAGTAGTGTGAGTGATGAATCTGACAGAGTCAGATGACAGAATTTATCTTCCAATGTTTCTCTTCCATTTCAAGGACAAAATTGTATTTATGGGCCAGCTATAGAAATATTAATTGCACATGCAGAGAAGGTATTGCATAACAATCATTTTTAAAACCTCCTTCTCTTTTTTGCAAGATAAAAAACCAGCAAAAGGAAATGCACAATTGAAACGGCCATTCCAAAGAAGAAAAACTGATTAAACTGCAAAGCTGCTGGAGAAGATACTGTCTGTGCAGCTGCGTCCTACTGAAGATCCCCCTGTGTTCTTGACAATGCTTCTGCTACCCAGAGAAAAATCAGTTCCATTTCAACATTATCACTCTGTCTAAATTGCATAAAGGCCACCTCATCCTGCCTCATGATTTCAAGTGAATTTGTTAGCTTTGTGCTAGCTTTTGGTGGCAAGGAGGTATCAGAATACTATGAATTTACTTCTGGATCATTTTAAATACGTGCTGTATACGAAATGTACACATGTAACTAAAATATACAGAGTCAGGACAGATTTGCTTTACTTAGGCCTGTTTCTTCATGCTGCAGTTAGAAGGACATTTGTTGCACAATAACTTATTTTCATAAGTAATGCTCATTATATATCCTTTGTCATTATATACATATTCCTGTAGATATTTCTTCCTGGAGTTAATGTTGATTGGATTACTCTACTGGGGTAATGATACAGGGATGCAAGATTTTGAGATGACAAATAGCAGCCGGGCTTACAAGCCAAGTTTCAGTCTTCACTACAAATTCAGCCCCAGTCCTCTGACATGTGCTGGACCTAATGAGAAATAAGAATACATATAAATCTCTCTCGTGTCCCTATTTTGCTCTTGTTTGTCACTCCCCCCAGAAGTGTAGGATTGGAAAGAAGTCTGTTTTTCCTATGGACCAGGTATAGCAAACCTACAAAACCACCTGGTATTTCATTTCTTAGGCTTTGCCGTTTCCCTTTTTCAGTGGAAGAAAAGCCTTCCTTTCTTTTGAAGAATCTAAATGGCTGGAAGGAAAAGTAAAGACTTTTTTTGAAGGGTATGAAGGATATGTAGGAAATTTTGGATAAAGATAAAAAGCATGGGAAATGTATGCTGTTTCTATCCATCTGAGTTTCCTAAAAGCCTGAAGTCTTTTTCTCCAAACCTTTAGGAAGCATTAAGACAGGCTTTTGCGGAACTCTCTGGAGGTAGGCAGAAACCCCAGGCATTCCTGTGTTTTTCCAAAGGTTCAAAAAACTCGCTTTCCCATCCAGCCCTCTGGGCTAGAAGGAGAGCGAGGTTCCCACTTCTATTCCTCACAGGCTTGGAAAAGTCAGGTAAGATGCCTTCCTTTCTGTTCTAATGGGTGTTTGTCATAAGTGGCCATGGGCTGCTCTCACGAATGATAAAGCCAGTGGCATTGCAGGAGCCTCTTTATCGTAAATTTCAAATAAAAAGTTTGCGTGGAATAATTAGAGGGATAACCTATTCCCTAGTTGCCCATAAAAATTAGAGAGATGTTGTGGAACATAGAAGTAAAACCTCAGTTCCTTGCTTTCATCTCCCAATGAGACTTTTTTTTAAAAAAAACAATTGCTTCATATCAGCTCATCTGTACCAGTTTAGGACAATTTGGGGGGAAGATAGAAACAATTGCTAAAAAAAAATTATTTGTTTGGGCACATTCCTGTAGCCATTTCCATATATATTTAGTGTAGAAAAAATCAGTGCGTATATTAGCTGTATGCAGTACTATATTTTTTTGTCAGTATATCAGCAGCAGAACCATTGCCTCATTAGTAATTTTCACTGCTTCTTTAGAGACTTTGAGTACTAGCCTGACAACTGGCAATATGCTTTTATTGCATTTTCTTCCAAAGGAAAAAAATTACTTCCCAGACTAAGAACCAGTATGTTTTATTTTTTCATGTTAAAAGAGAGTTCTCCATAAGATACATTTGACAGGAATATCCTCTAATTTGGAGTTTGTAAGTGATTTTCCATTCTCTTAAGTAATATGTTTGTTAATATATATTTTAAGATCTACGGATTTTAGTATACCTGGCCCTGCCAGCAAAGATTACGGGTTAAAAATATATACTCTGTATATTTATTTACATGATGCTAGTATAATGTGCCTTGAAAGTAAATTGATATTTTTAGAGGATTGCATTTCATTGAAACATGACTCTTGTCAGCTAAAGTATACCAGATTTTTCTTAAATACTTTTTGTTAAGTTCAAACTGGATTTGAAAATACATTAAAAGGTGAAGCTAAAATATATGTGTTGTTCTTTTATATTCACCTGCGGGCTAGAAGAAAAACATGGTCAGATCTCATGTTTTCTTATTTATATAATTCATTTTATATAAATGAGGAATTTGCCTGAAGATAAAGGAGTGAAAGAGAGAAGCCTCAAGTTTTAGGACGCAGTTAAATTCTTAAGTTAGTCATTGTTTTTTCCATGTGGCACATACTGAGCACAAACCAGGTCAGTTTTTATCTCTCAGTCCCAGTTAGTGACAGCTGAAGAGTAGATTGCTCAGCTGAGAAATAATCAGGCCATCTTGAAGCTCACAAAGTCTTTAATGGAGTGATTTTCGAGCTGCTTCTGGAAATGACCCAATTCAGAAATTGCCCAGGCGTTACCAACCAGGATAGGCAAGCAAGCATAAATACAGAAGAGCAATCATGCAACAAATCATTCTGTCACAATACTTTTCATGATGCCTGTACGGGGGAGCAATTCCTGTCTCGAGGTTCAGAATTAATACTCTTGGCAGTTGCTGAGAGAATTACTGCCACCAAACTTTTTCTGTAGGTGAGAAGTATAGGAGCTGAGCCCATGCCACCAACTGGACATTGCTGGCTAAACCTGCAAATTGCCTTTGCATTCTTGATTGCAAACAGTTTGTTTAATGTTGCAGTTCACCCAGTTTGAAAAATAAAAAAGGCAAATGTAGAAATGTGGTAGACTAAACTGTACTTGACATCTTAGTGCTGGAGCCAAATTTATTTTTAGGAAATAAATAGCATAATGTAGCAATACTTTTCCAGCTATAGGTGTCCTTTTAGCTGAACAACATTTGGATAAGGTCACCTTCATTTTACAACATTTCAGTGTTAGATTACTTTGGTTGTTGCGTTTGCTTGGGTGAGTCTTCATTATAGATCTCTCAGGTTAACAATTTTGTTCATCCCTTTATTAATTTTCACATTCTGTCCAAAATAATAAAGACAAAAAATTATTAAAGACAAATGGCCTTCAGAAAGAAAGAACTAATGGCAGAATGAGATTCTAAAAGCAGTAAAGGGTAATGGAGAAATGGATGTAGCCATACTAGTCTTTGCAGGTCCATTACTTTAAGTGCAATCATCTTATAAGTTTGTTTTAATTATTTTGGCTAGGTATCTTGTATATAGTAAATATCTGACTTCCAAACAGAGGCCAGCAGATTGGCCCATAGATTGGAAGAGGTTAAACTATATACCAATACCAAAGAAAAGAGACTCAGCAGAGTGTGCAAACCATTGCATAATATCCTTAATTTTAAATGCTAGCATAATAAAGTTTAGGATCATCCACACAGATTAAAGGCTTACATGGAAAGGGAAATGCCAGATGTTCAAGTTAGTTTTAGAAAAGGCCAAGAAACAATAGCTATCATTGCTGACAGACTCTGGATAGAGAAAGCCAGTGAATACCTCAAAGAAGTGAACATGTCCTTCATTGATCATAAAAAAGCATTTCATTATGTCAGTTGTGTTAAGCCATGGAATGTCCTTAGGAAAATGGGAATCCTATACCCTCATGCAAAACCTACACAGAACAGAAAGCCTGGACAGAATATGACAAACCAGTCTGGGTCCAAGTTGGCAAAGAAGTGAGACAAGGATGCATATTTGCTCCTTATTTGGCATAGGGTCTGGTTAATTGAGGGACCACCTGTCTCTCATAACATCTGCCAAGCCAATTCGATCCTGCAGTGTTGGCACACTCCAGCTTCCTTCAATTAAGCAATATAATCTCTCAGGACCCTGGAAGTGTTCCTTTTCTGTAGCAGTGCCTGCTCTCTGGAATGAGGCTCCCCTTGAGATCTGGATGGCTCCCACTCTACTGTTGTTTAGAAGAGCCATGAAGACCTGGCTCTTCACCCAGGCCTTTGGCAAGGGAGAGTGAGGCCCCTTGCTTCGTCACACTTGCCATATTTTATCTTTATTTTTTATGTTTCATTCATTTAATTGTAATTGGTTTGATTGTTGTGAGCCTCCCAGAGTTGTTGAGAGTCAGGCAGCATATAAGTAGTAGTAGTAGTAGTAGTAGTAGTAGTAATAATAATAATAATAATAAAGGAGGAGGAGGAGGAGGAGGAAACAGTGAAAAAAGGAGCATAGGAAGCATATCTGAAGGATAGTGAAGAAGATGCACTGAAGCTAGTACACCATGAAGGCTTACTACCAAAGAAACCAAACTGGCCTATGAGAAAGACCAAATGAAGAACAGAAAAGAGACATGGCAAGCAAAGTATTACATGGCCAGTACACAAAAAAACTATCAAGCAAAGCAGATAACAAGATCTGGCAATGGCTAAGAGCAGGAAAGTTGAAGAAAGACACAGAGGGGCTAATTCTGACTGCACAAGCTTTAACAACAACTGTATATAAAGCCAGAATTGAGAAGACAGCAACAGACAGCAAGTGCCGCCTCTGCAAAGAAGCTGAAGAACTAGTGGCCCCCCTACTCAGCTGCTGAAAGAAGATCACA